AAAAAAAAAAAAATAAGCAAAAAAAGTAACATATGTCTCTCTTCCTCCTTCCTTTCTTCTTTGGGGTCCAGTGAGATATGAGGGCAGGCAACGTGGTGAGGCAATAGTACACACATATTGGATATAACGTATAATAACAAGAGCTGGGGTTTCTCACTGTCAGAGAAGAGAAATACAAAATGGAAGGGGAAAAGCTACGAAATGACCTGCTGTGTTAAGTTCAGAGGAGGTGTTTTAGCTCTGATTTTCCTTAACTAAGACAGATGTTGAACTTTATTTTCTTGAAATGCTCCTTCATTTTGCTATTGCGACATCACACACATGTACTTATTCTTAATTTTATGGCCATTTATCCTGGGTCCTTTTGTAGTTTTTTTTTCCTTTCAAATATAGGGGCTCTATAGGCTACATCCATTGCTAGATTTTCTTCCTACACTACATTTTCTCCCTGGGCATCACTCTCATAACTGCAATTAAATCTCTATGCAAGTGACTCCCCAAACTTCTTCTCCATCCCAGATCCCTCTTATGTTCCAGACTCAAATTATCTCCTTGCTGGTCACCTTCATTGTGTTGTTTAATAGGTTAAAATTCAATACACCAAAAATTGAACGTCTTCAACCAATTTACTCCTTCTACCACCTCTTTAATTCTCCATGTTGGGGACCAAAATCACCATCCACTTGATCGTCCAAGCAAGAAACGTGGGCATGAGATTTGCTGCTCCCTCCACTTCACTCCCCAGTCTGGCTTAGACCAACTGTGTCTTTTGCTGGAACCCCAATGTGGCCTTCTGCCTTATCTTTCTGCTTTTGGTTTTGGTTTCCCCACCCTAATCCCCAAACTTCAAGTTTCATGTCATAAATTATACAGTGCACACAGTGGAGTTATTGTTTCAGGAGTGGCCTCTCTACTGCCTTCATCCTGTTCACCCAAATCTTCAGGCAGAAGTCCTTCAGTCTGAGCTCTTGGGGACACTGCCTTCTAGTCATCCTTCCCTGTTATAATGAAAACTCCCACTGGACTCCTCTATGGTTTTTCAAACTCCCTCTGATCCACTCTCTCATGGGTCTTCCTCATGTTCTCTGTAGCCTGCAGCTCTGGCGTCAAGCATTCAAGTCCATCCAGTCAAACACTTGAATCTAGAATAAAGCCAAAAGGTTTGGATAATTGTGGTGAACAGCTTTTGGGTCCTGTAGGAAGTAGTCTTTCTGAAAGAAAAGTAAGGACAAATCCAAGTTCCTTAACGTGGCTTACAGGAGACATCCTTTCTTCTCAGCTAAGCCCTAGTGACTCCTTATATAGTTACTAAGGGAAAATTCCAGTTTGCCAAAACATGCAACTGTTTTCTTGCTTATGGATTTTTGGATATGATGGTACGGCTGCTTGGAACATATTTCTCCGTCCTTCTTCACTCAGCGTAGGATTGATCCTTTGTAGATGCAGATTGCGTTTCTCTAGTTAGTGCAGACTCTCCCATGGCCCACTCCCACCCAACCAAACAGCTGCCCCTGCTCCCTTCATCATCCTTTCCAGCCTGACTGGCTGGTGCCCTGTGAGTGCTTGGCTTCCTTTCCTGGTCTATAAGCTGTCTGTGGAAGAGAGCTTATGTTCTCAGTTTTTCTCAGGTTCCTTCCTGGCACAGTGCT